AATTGGTATTTTAGAGGGCGAACGGTGGCACTTGGTACGGTTTCGAACTGTGATTCAGCTTTTTTTATGAAAGGGTAACATGACATGCATGACGCCATCCCGTGTAAGGTATTGACTTAGTTCAATTCTGATCTGTTGTAAAAGACAGAGATCAATGACCATCCCTGCCCAAGTATAATTTAAAAGACTAAAAGAAATATAATTGACGACGCAGACTTTATGATAATGACGAGCAATAAGTTTTGTCAAAATCGATCACTAATTCTAAGCTATACCGGATTTTTTGCAAAAGGTAATTTGCTCGGACACACGAGAGCCTGCCGTCATTTTCGATTGCATGGCCAGCTCGTTGACGTGGCGAGCTGACATGCGCCATCTGGGATTTGAGCTCGTGAATTGACGTAGCCATGGTGTGCTGATGGCTTAGAAATTTTGCATCCAAACACGTTACCGACTGCGCCGTGTAAGAACCGCCCACCCTCCTTACTGACGAGTTTCATCTTATAGTAATCAAACGAAATTTTTAGAAATTCTTTCGACCCCCCCCCCCCAAAAAAAAAAAAAACAAACATTACATGGACAACCCTAGGACTTGAACCCGTGCACAATTGTCCATTTATATCGAAGATGGTGATGTTACCACGGACCCACGGAATCTCCGTTGTTAGGACGGGGATCAGATTGAACATTTTTACTCCCTCACAGAGAGAGCCAGTAAAAGAGGAATATTAATGTTATTTTTTCAGAAACCGAAAAGGGGTCAGGACCCCTTGACCCCCCCACCCCCCTCTAAATCCGCCACTCTACAACAATTTTCAAGCTGATTGTTCGTAGTTAGTACCGGGTACGTGCCACTTATTAAGATGCTGACTGAAGAAAACGCAAGGGCCTAATGGACTGGCAGAAATGAAAGACTAACATTTTACTGACATCCTAAAACATATTTTTCAAAATTCTCTTAGGGACGTGGACAACTGCCAGCGATGTCCAGCAGACGACACATTTCTTTATGAAGAGGGAACAAAGGACTTACGGTAAAATGTCACATTTGCTTGTATTTTTCAAAAAGTGCTCCAGTAAAGGGAAAAGTGGTTAATGAATTTTGTAAAAAATGAAATGCAATAAAAACATTGACATTTTTGTCTTTCTATTAAGTTTTGAAAATAACGTTTGCATGTTTACAGACAAGAATGGGATTGTTTTGTAGACTCCATCGATTAAGAAAATAATAGAAGTATCAATAATTGACTTTGAAATGGAATGTAACGGTTTACAAATCGTATACCTATTTTGTGAAATGAACTCGTCGCTCGAAAAGTATTCAATGCAGGTGCAGAGCTGTGTCAGTTATTGTCGGCACCCTAAAATAATGGCGGTGAATAGTGGATTATTTCTCCATTATTTCTCATTTGTCATTCAGGATGCACTGCTATTTGAGTTACAGGGTTGCAGGGGGCGTTGTCCTATAGAGTATGGGTTCTGGTTACTTACTTGCAGGTTACTTCTGAATTTTGAAGATTCCCCTACTTAAAGTTAGGTTGATTTTGAGCGATGCCTTTTTGTCTCTAGAATATAAGCCGTAAAGCACTTGTCTATGACAGGAACGATTGGAGGTAGGCGAAGAACCTGAATGTCTCAGCTACCGCAATTAGGAAAATTTCGAAATGGACATTGTTGTTTTATACTGGTTCGTAGACTGAGAAATATGCTTTGGGAAGGGTTGGACGGCCTACAACACTTGCGAGCAATTTTTTTCTGCCGGTGGATTGAAGGAAAGTAAGACTACTGAAGCAATGAGAGAGGGGAAAATGTTAATACTTTGAAAAGATGAACTGCATCGTATAGAGCGGCACACACACACACACACACACACGAAAGCAGGCGGGCTCACTCACACAAATAGACACACACACACACACACACACACATACATACAACCGAACGTGTGCGTGCATGCACATTGACGTTCACACACACACACACACACACACATGACCGCCGTTGGCCTAGGGTTTTCTTTCCGTATGTAAAAAAAGGAGTGATATATTTGTTATTTAGAAATTTGTATACAAATCCAATTTGTCTTCTAAATATTTTTTAATAAAATATTTATCTCCATGAAACAATTTATAAAGTACATAATGAATATCAACGACATTTCGCAACATTTAGGAAACAAACAACTTTAATTCCAACGCAATTACATTCATTGGCATAACAATAACTCGCTGTTTAAAGCATCACCTTCGATATAAATGTACTGATGTCTGTCTGAATTTTGGCTACGAAACCCTCTCCTCCCACTGTGAATATTAAAAAGTAAACATACACCTACAAGGCCACATTGCTTAAAAGGACAACTTATGTAAATTCAAAATGTAAATGCAAAGTTATAATGTCTTTTTTCCCGATATTTGAATTCTCGCTTGTCCAAACATTTGCCCTAGGAATGATATCTGAATAGAAAAAATAAAGTTTGCTCATTAGGAGGTCATCAAATAATTCCTAACGGCGAGTTCAAAGGTGCTTCTTTTTACCGTCTAATATTTGTGTTTATGAGTTTCCATTTTGGTTCTGGAATGTTTCTACGAAAATATCCCTCATGATAAAAAAAGTCTCTAGAACAACCATTCTGGGACATATTCAGTATATACACGATCTGCAGATCTCTTTTTCAGGGCAACCATGGATGGGAGATCTTCGTCGGCAGATCTCTTTTCAGTGCAAC